CAAATTTTACATATAAACTGAAAGAGACTTTGAGCCAAAAAGCGTATTACAAAATTCAGACGTTTTTTAAAGATAAATTGTAATAGTTTTTACTCTTGTCAGGGTATAATTAGATTAAGGAACCTAGATATAAATTGACCATGTACCAGCTTGGGAATTACTTTTGTAATTATTGTATGCGTTATGTACAATAAAGCTTTGTCTATTGTCTATTGTCTAATAAGCGCCTTCATCTTTATTAGCGATGTTAAACGTCTACCACAAACCAATAAAGAACTATTATGCTGACTCATTTTTGAGATAACATGAAAACAATCAAATATTAGAGAACAGAACGTCACCAAGATTCACAGTATAGAGTTTCTAAAAATGATTTTATCTTTTTATGTTGATCTTTACTTCCGTCTCTCTCTCTCTCTCTGACTTCCAAGATCACCGCGATAGCTGCCACGAACAAGTCTCTTCAGCGTACATTTCGATACGGAATGCGAATGAGGTTGTGCTACATAGCATTATAGCACGAGCACCAGAATCACTAAAATTGTCTGTAAATTTTTCATACAGCAAAAGTTATATAGCAATGTTATATAGCAAAAGTTAAATAACAATGTTATAGGCTATAGCAAAAGTTATATATGTAGCAGGTTTTTCTACATAGTGTAAATCCGGCTTTAAAACTAAAGGTATGGATGCACCACAGATTTGCCATCAAGCATCGGCATTCATTTTGACGTATATTTCGAGTCATGCACAAACTGCCTCCTTGTACATTACTTATGTGACTTAAATGTGTTTTTTTAGTTCGTTTAACTCTTCTACCCGACCGATTTTGATAATTTCGGTCTCAAAGCTATGCAAGCACATATTTGTCTTCAAGCATCATCATTAATCTATCAAATGTATTAATCTACAACAAAATTTAAATTGGATTTTTTAAATTTTTACTTTAATTAAATATGTATTCAAGATGTTACATTATCCCATATGTTGTTATCTAAAAACCTTCAGTGAAATACCAGCTTCCATTGGAATTATTCATTATTAAGATCGGACGTACCTAAAGCACACTGCTTTAAATCACAAACAACCAAAATTGTTTAAAAATGGAGTTATTTAACATCGATTTATAGTCAAAAGATTTTGCTTGCAACCTCAATAGTAGACTAACTGTCGATGTTGACGGGTTTCACCTTAAAAAAAATCAAACTTTCATAATTATTTGAAAATCTACACGAATTAAGCTTTCCAACGACCCATTAGTTAATAAAATCGGTCCAGTAGAACTCTAGATTTAGTTGTACAAAGATTTTAAAACTCAATTATTAGATTTAATTAAAAATCAATTAAGACAAATGGAAATTCGTTTAGTCTGCAGGTTTGCTGCGGCGGGGGTATTTTGTACTACGATCGTATTTATAAATAGTGCTTCTAACCACTATTATATCATTTTTCAGCATTAAATTTCCTATAATTTGATACCCTTTTTTCAAGATGGCGGCAAAAAAAAAACATATTTTGCGCCACAGTACGGATGTATATTTATAGTATGTTGATTAGAAGCATACTACCTACCATTCACAGCAAGAATCATTTGTGTTGCAATTAGTTCCACCTTAAGCTATATTTTCAATTATTTCTACTGCACTATAACGCCAACTGTCCTTTTGTTTCATTGTATTTTTAAGTCTCATTTTGGCTTTTTGCCGGGCTTTTGGATTCAACCTGGAGGCGAGTTAGCGTAGCGAACGAGCTAACCTGAAGGCAAGTGAGCGTAGCGAACGAGCTAACCTGAAGGCAAGTGAGCGCAGCGAACGAGCTCCAACCTAAAGGTGAGTGAGCGTAGCGAACGAACTTCAACCAGGACGTGATTGAGCCATGCGAACGAGATCATCTTGAAAATTAAGAAGTTAAACGGGGCAAAGCCCGCGGGTTTACAGCTAGTCTTTTTATAAACTGGTTTATGACATGAATAAATCAAATTAATTGAATTGAATTGAACTGAAAATAATTATCTTTAATATCTATAATATTAAAACGAAACAGGGGTTTTTTATTTCACGATTCTGAATCAACCACTTGACGGATTTATATGATTTTTGTGTTGAAAGAAAGATAATTTTGAGAACTAGGGAATGTCGAAGCCATAATTTTAGTTTAGGGTTTCAGTTTTTTAGAAATTAAGTTTTAATTTTTGAAAAGTCTAGCAGCCGACACTAAGATTCTAAACTAGCTTTTGGTATAATATAATTTGCTTAACATAACAGCTGTAAACATTCAGCATTTGTAACACAAATTCAGCATTTGGATCAAATTAAAAGACATACTAAGGGTTGACTTATTTATACTATGTGTAATGCTAATCATTGATACGTTCAATCCTTCGATAAGAGGATGACGGATTATTTAAATATACATAGTAAAATACTAGGATGTTCAAATTATTTTTTTAAGTAATCTTTGTAATCTTCGGTTTGTTTTAGTGCAATATAATTTGTTTTAACTAACAGCTGGTTAGTTATAAAAATGCCCTATAGAACTATGAGGTTATTTACTCTGATTTTGTCATTGATTATAGGAAATAAGTAAGATTAGTAGACCAGCGAGATAAGTAACACCATTGATGTGAACAAGTCGAGGCTCTGTACACAAGTTAAAAAAAAGATATGCAAATTATTTTACTGCTCAACTTTTTTGGAAAGGATAAGAAAATCATAAAACATTTTTACATGTTTTAATTTATCTTGGTAGCTTTTTGTTTACAATCAATGTTTTTGAATGCTTGAACTGTTTGGATTAGGCCCGGAAATATTGATGTCATAAAGATGGAGATCAAGAATCCTCAGGAATACGATTTTAAATTACCACCACAACCTCAGACGGGTGTTATCCAACGATATACAGATGAATGACATAGATTGAACACAGCGTTATCATTGACGTAGGATACTGCAATTAGACTAGCCATCTTTTTATGAAATCTAAAAAGTTGTTTGGCGTGTGTTTAGTTGTGGTTACGTTTGGAGGCGCTGAATATTTTATAGTTTAAATAAATGAATATGGGGAATTACAATGTACATTGATTCAATGAGAGTGGTTTAATTATCAAGGATATTAGAACTGATAACGGAATGGATAATAAACATAGACAATTAATTACGTCACTAGCTTTACTAGCGTTTTTACTTTTTAAATTCCTTCAACATGTGACCAGTCCTTTTGTTCAAATGAATATTATTTTATTTTTGACTCAGCTGTTTACAAAATAAACTAATATGTTGTTGTGTTTACTTCTCTTTGTTTACACTTATTTATTTAGCAATTGATGCAGTGAAATTGACATAAAGGATGTGTGTAGACGATTCGTTTAATGATGTCAGGACACCAACGTTATAATTATGTGTACTGTAAATTTTATTTGGATGTTTTCGTTTTATTTTAGGGAGTTTCAATTCAGACCTACTGGAAATTGTGTATAGTATGAGTAATTGTATTGTGATTATATTGATTATGGAAGAGGCAGGTATGCGATGGAAGGTGATATCATTGACTAGGCCTATAAACTTCTCAATTGATAATTACTCTTTATACTGTAGGCTGCAATAAAATTTGTCTTTATACGTGTAAACTAGCTGTTCTGAATTATAGGCCTACACAGCCCGTACGTAGGACGGGCTAACACCTCGTTACAGTTTACATTCATACTACTAAACACAATGGCTTGACATACACAGAACCCTTAAATGTCAATTTTATTCAAAACAATTTAACAAAAAATTTGTATTGTAAAATCAATTTAATTTTGACCTAGTGGGGCCTTGGTTTTATCAACATAATTGTCAACATATTTCTCGAAAATTTGTCAAAAATCACCTTTCACACTACATGTTTTATGAAACACAAATCTGACAAATTTGTCAAGACATTGACATATTTGTAAAAAATATTTGAAATAAAATTGTCAATTTTAAAACATATATGAAACACAAATTTGTAGAATTGTAGATAGTCTAATATACCTGTCACCTTTTATGAAAGAGGGCCTAGGTGTAAAGGTACTGTTTGTTTAATATGACTTAGGTACTTCTCACCTAGAAAGGTTAGTTAGTTACTTTTTGAGAGATCCCAGATACAGACCATACACAAATTGGTCATGGATTCTTCATCCTGTAGGCTATGAATCCGGACCACAGCGAAAGAAGTAATTCTCCGTAGTGACTGACCAAATCCCACAAAATTCTTCTTAATTTCCCAGAATATTTAGCCAAAATCCCTGGTAAATTTCAGGAAAAGTAATAGTCTATTTTACTGCATTATTTACCATTCAGAAACAATAAAACATTTTTCTGCAAAACATTTATAAATTATTTAACAGAAATGTTCCATGTTAAGGAACCAAAGATGATTAAAGTAAGGCATAGGTAAAGACCTACGTAATAAGGTTAATTATATTTTGAACTTCCCTCTTCCTAAAACTATGTATGAATAAAGCAAAACTTTAAATGAAACCAAACAAAAAAATAACAAATTTATGTTTTAATAATTATTTTACTATTAAATAAGGCATTTAAAGAAGTTATTCCTTAGTATTAATTAAGTCAGCAAACTCCAATCCCCTAGAGTCCGGGACTCCAATATTGGCAACACTGGTTTTTAACTACCAAGTTGTCATGGCAACGGTCGCCAGCGCTTGGCGCTGCAGCGGTTTGCGCCGTAACTACATGGCGCTCCTAGCAGGGGACGCCAGAACATATGCTAACCGCAGCACTGCTGACGATTTATTTCATTCCTTTTGTCCATGGTTTCATTTATTAATCATCAACATTAAAACTGATCATAACTCAATTCGATGGTTAGGCCTACATTAAACAAAAATATATTGTAGAAACAATATATATCAAACCGAATAAAAATCAATACGATATAGGCTATTGGTATTTAAACCGATCTTATGTCACAGGTTCTCGGCAGAACTGTACCCACATAAATTTTGTTCAACTTACTTTGTACTGCTCGTAGTGACTGATGATGATCCTGGAGTGCTGGAACCTGATACTTGAGATATCAACTTCTTCTGGAAGTTGTAATCTGCTTGCATATCACATGGCTGTACTGGGGGCAAAGGTGGTGCCAAAAAATGTCGTGTAGCTTCATCATTCATGAAAAACATACTTCTAAACATTAAGTTACTGTTCAAGCTCATATCAGTCATACTATTCCCTTTGCCACTGTCTTGGTATAGTGTCTTCTGACCCTTAACCTCAGGAGACTTCAAAGATGAACAGCCATTTACTATTGTTTCACTTGAGACCTCAATAACTTCACTTTTTATTTTATTAGCTATGAGAACACCATCTTTATTTTCACATAGTTCATAGTTATTTGCACAATCAAGTTTCACTCTTTCAGATAGATTGTCAGATACTAACTTTATAGAATCCAAAGCAGAATATTCAGCATTACATCTGAAAATATAAGAAGTCTTAAGTACACAAGTAGAAATACATTCGCCCCAGCAAACCTGCAGACTAAGCAAATGTCCATTTGACTGTTTGGACTTTCACTAAAATATTTCCTTAAAATTGTCTATAAGACTGCCATTTCCCCCGGAAAAGTCAAATAAGAGTACTAAAAATTGGAAAATCAACATGAATTTTTTAAAGTTCCAAATCACACATTAAGCTAGGTCTATTTAAATTTTGCAGAATTTTACGCTGGATGTTTATATGTATAGTCAAATGAGGTGACTTTGGGCCCAGCTTTTATTCTTCTTGAAATATTTTTTGTCTCGGTCGGTCAAAAAATTCTTTCTTTATGGCTACTTTGATAAAAAAAGTGTGTAGTTTATGATGCAATAATTTATTTTGTAAAAAAGAGTTCTTGGTGTTGTCGAGGGAGGCCTAGCATTGACCCAAAGTCACCTTGTGATTTGGAGTGACATTCTGGGTGGCCATGGTTTTTACACTATAACACCAATGTCCCCTAAGTAGGCCTAAGTATCAGGGCGTATCCAAAGGATCCCACCCAGAAGCCATGCAAAGCGGTAACTAATCATGACCCCATTGATCGCTTTTTAGCGAATTTCCCATATAGGGAATAAGCTACTACCGTAGTACTCATGATAAGACCTGGACCCTGAACCGATATGCTTTTTCGTTTTGAGGTCCCTAGAAACCAAAAACACCATACGTTCAAATTCATACATATATATATATATATATAGGCTAATATTTATAATATTTAATATTTATACAAAATTAAAAACATAGTTAAAGCTCCCCATACACGGGCAAGCATGTTCGCGAGCATGCTTGTGACGGTGTTGGTGAGGAACATGCTCGCCCGTGTGTGGGATCCATCGCAGCGAGCATGCTGGGCTCGGCTCTCGGCTCGTCGGACCTGTTGAGCCCGACACACGAACATGCTCGCCCGTCTGTGGGGACGACCAATATGTTTGAGAGCATGTTCGCCGCTGCAACTCACCCACAGTGGATAGCGATAGGCTAAATGATTCCATCAATGTAGCCGCTAACCATGATTCCAGTTACACTCGTGGACTCATTACAAAGTAACCGTTCCGATTCAAAAAGATTACTTCGTTACCGCCATTAAAGTAGCCGCAATAGACAGATTGCACTTGTAATCATCATGGTGTTGATACTCTTGATGTATTCCAGTTACAGTAATAGATTTAGAATCAATGTTTACAGAAGCTAAATAAATATTTATTTGTGTTTGTTCCAAAATAGAGGGTTCATCAATTAAAATTTGTATATTATTACAAAAATGTGTACAATCAATTCTGTGTAGCAATTTGTCACAATTAAATAATTCTAAAGAAGGCTAAAATAAGCAAAACTACGAGATATGTTTTTGCACAACGATGGAATTTTAATAGTTCTCTTAGAAGGGACATATGGCTGAACCATCTTCTATTTTTGAGCCAATTTTTACACCATATTTTTTGTGGCTTACTTTTGCTATCCTCTTCAAATCAAACTGCACCACCGCAAAAAGCCACAACAGCATTTGGCATCCATTTAAATTTAATCCAAATAAACTAATTAAATATTAAATAAATAAATACACACAACTTGACTGTCACAGCCATCGAAGTACATAACACATGGTCACAGCGCACAAGAGAAGCAAGAATAGGGTTAAGAACCGCTACCGAGCGACCAGCAAGTTCGCGAGCATGCTCGTCCGTCTGTTGACAACGCCGAGCATGTTCGCCAACATGCTTTTCCATGTATGGAGGGCTTAACAAAGTGGCCTTTTTAAATAATCATTTTTATTTTGACCGATTTCATTTGATTAAGGGTACTTTGTTAACTATGTTTTTAATTTTTATTATATTAGTAGCCCTAAACATGCCAGAAAATGTATCTAAATATATAAAAGGCAAAGCCCTCGCTGACTCATCACTAATTCTGCCACTTCCCATTTACCTAGGAGGCTGAAATTCGGTACACCGATTCTTTGGGCATTAAATAGGAAAACTAAGTAGTTTTTATTCTGATCCGGCTTTCGGGCTCCGCCCCAGTGGCTCTGGAGTTTCCCATGTTAACCTTGTGATCTTTCATATTTAAAAGTAATTAATGAATCTTAACAGCTTTTTCAATTAAACAAGTTGGTTCTGTTCTATGATGTTCAATGGCATTAAAGTTACAAGGATTACCAACAGGGTGCAGCACTATTATTTCTTTTACATTTATGACATCAGCTAATTTGCAACCAAAAGGTGAGTGAGGGTAGCGAACAAACTTCAACCTGGAGGCGAGTTAGCGTAGTGAACGAGCTAACCTGAAGGCAAGTGAGCGCAGCGAACGAGCTCCAACCCAAAGGTGAGTGAGCGTAGCGAACGAGCTCCAACCTAAAGGTGAGTGAGCGTAGCGAACGAACTTCAACCAGGACGTGATTGAGCCATGTGAACGAGATCATCTTGAAAATTAAGAAGTTAAACGGGGCAAAGCCCGCGGGTTACAGCTAGTTAAGTATAAAATGCTTATTGCAGTTATACTCAAGCTTTGCGTTTGCAATAAGGGAGGACACAGTTTGATAAAATTTGCTTTTTTAGATTTACAGTACCGGTATTCTACTACACATCTACCATAGCCATAATGTTCTACCACTTCACCTAAACAATAGAGAATAATAAATTATCAACAATTCGCAAAATATCACAAATTATTCATAAAATGAAAAACATTAACATAACTGTAAACAAGCCTACTTTGACAGTTCTCATTGCGAATCACAGTTTTTTGTTACTGCTTAGCTCAAATTAGCTGTTTTTATAAAACCAAAAAAATATAGTGCTGAACCCTGTTGGTAAATCTGATAACTTTTTAATGCTTTTCCATATCATAGAACCAACCTTTTTAGTTGAAACAGCTGACTATATGCTTTAATTCTCTTTAAATATGAATACTCATAAGGTTAACATGGGAAACTACAGAGCCACTGGGGCGGAGCCCGAAAGGATTTATGAGATAAGAATATGCCTATATGTTGATCGGGAATGTGACCTACATTATGCCAATTTTCAGCCCTATCCGTCCAGTGGTTTATGCGTGATTGAACTTCAAACAAACAAACAAACAAACACACAAACTTTCACATTTATAATATTAGTAAGAGTTTGATCAAATTTGGTAGAATTTTGGAAGAAAAAACTAATATTAAATGCATAACACTAAAGGCCCCGTTTAACACAGCGGGGCAGTTTAATGCAGTATATATAACTGCATTAAACATGGAAATAACATTCAGAATTTGATATGAGGAAATTAGGTTTTTTGTTGTTTACACAAAAACTAAAAGATACGAAGTAAGTGTAAATTTACAAAGTTGTTAAGGATTATGAAACCTATAAAATGATCTGCCTATTGACATATGTTGCTATTAAAAATTTTAATCAATGGGCATTTGCAAATTTTCAAAAATCATTTTTTTTTTAATTCTTATTCTTTAAAAAACCCGTTACTTGTAGCATCTATATATTAATTTGAAACTGTTTTTCTTTGTCACAGCTATTTTGAGAGAATGGCTGGGCGTAGAAACTCGGTAGAGGTGTCTAAAGAAAGGGCATGGTCTGTAGATGAGCCATCAAAAGAGAAACGTGGTAAATTTCCTTGGGGCTCTGCCCCAGTGGCCTTTAAATTCCCATCCCATGTTATTCTTATGGGGGGGAAATCGGTTTTTGTCACAGCTAATTTCAGAGAACGGCTGGGCGTAGAAACTTGGTAGGGGTCTCTAAAGAAAGGTCTTGGTCTGTAGATGAGCCATCAAAAGAGAAACAAGTTAATTCCCTTGGGGCTCTGCCCCAGAGGCATTTAAAGTTCCCTCTTCAGATTTGTTTACATTACGACCATATGCATAATTTTACACTACTTTTTAATGAAACAGCTGTTAATATTCAAATTGTGATTTACTGAATTTGTCAAAATGAAGTATTTGCAATGGCTTTTTCTGATTTTAAAATCGATTTTCTTCTGCATCATGTCATGTTTTGCAATGTAATGTTCTATTACCAAATCAGTGGAAAATCCTAATATCACAGTAACTCTTAAAATTATTTTTCATGAAGTTAACTTATATCTATCTTATGCGTTGGTTTCTGCTCTTTTTACCACTTCTTAGAGATTGTACGTAGGCGTGATACACGTAGATGATATTCTTTGGCGTATTTCATCTGTAGACGATACTTGGGTTGGTGTAGTTATTACAATGGAAAAAGTGAGAAAGCCTGGACAATTTGATATACTACAAATAAAACTGAATTAACACTGTGCTACATTTCTTGAGCAATCTTTTAAAGAGCCAATTTGCAAACATATGAAAGTCATAAAACACAACCAAGTAGAAGAAATAGAAATAATGTTTGTTTTTTTTTCATTTATATTCGTTATTATAGACAACCTGATGCGGCTATGAGTGGAATCATTTGTAGAAAACACTAAAAAACAAGATCAGCTTTTGAAAAAAGATAAGATATTTACAAACAATTATAACTGTTGTGTACATTGTGAGTATTTCCATAATCTTTGAGTTGACTCTTATAAAGTCATCGGAAATTATGACTGTTATTCGTTTTAAAATAACGCCTGTAATGCTTCGCAATTGCTCGAATTCGAGCAACAGGTACACTAGTATCACAGTAAAGCTAATTTCATAATGAGTAAGAAAATTCAACCGGAAAAGGGCTAAGTAAAGTAGTGCATTGTATAGGAAACAAAGAGTATTAAAAACATATTGATTTTTTCCAAATAAACTGCCGCCATTTTGAAGCGGAAAAAGATCATTCATTTCTATTTTCGCCAAAATGTTTGTCTATTAAATACCTTTAAAATGATGTATAATATGACATATTATCCCTAGAGTCTTTTTGTGCTATCGAAATAATGAGGTTTTAAACGTAATCATTTCAAAAATGGTTGAGTTAATAACCTTAACATACACTAAACTTTACACAATTTTACACTTCAGGAAGTGCTTAGGGTACACCTATGTTGGGTGTCGTAAATTTTCACCCAAAGTGGGGCCTGGGTTAACCCATTGGCCCGGCGACTGAGTTAGGTACGAGTGCTGCTCGTGTCACCGCTACGCAGCGCCACTAGTTATTTAATTATTATTATTTTCCCCCATTATGTTTCTTCTTATTTTTATAATTATGTTTATAAATATAGGCTATTGCTTCTTGTATTGATATTTACTCATTGATTTTTGTGAATAACAAAACAGGTTGTGTAGGCATGGAAACCAGATATCACCCAAAATCAGCTGCGGTAAGGTAAAAAAATTTGTTTCTATGTTATCTATATTTATAAAAGAGGAAGTTTGTATATATATATTTGAACGTTATGGACTCCGAAACGGCTTGACAGATTGTAATGAAACATTCAGGCATTAGTAAGCATTATTCAAGGATGGTTTGTGTGAAGTTTGGTGCATATCCGTCAAAAGGGCTCCACCCCAGTGGCTCTAGAGTTTCCCATGTTAACCTTAAGAAAAACACATTTTTATATTTGAATGGAATTAAAGAATCTTATCAGCTGGTTCAACTAAACAATTTTATTCTGTGATGTTCAATAGCATTAACAAGTTAAATATGTTTACCAACAGGGTGCAGCCCTATAATTTTTAAATTTATGACAACAGCTAATTTGCAACCAAAAGGTGAGTGAGCGTAGCGAACAAACTTCAACCTGGAGGTGAGTTAGCGTAGCGAACGAGCTTAACTTGAAGGCAAGTGAGTGCAGCGAACGAGCTCCAATCTAAAGGTGAGTAAGCGTAGCAAACAAACTTCAACCAGGATGTGACTGAGCGATGCGAACGAGCTCATCTTGAAAATGAACGAGCATTTGACAAAAAACCACAATAGGATAGGACGACGTCTATCAGGCCAGCTAGTTACTTATAAAAGTAAACAATTTGTGATTTTTCTACGTAGGGAATCAATTAAAAACTTTATAACATTGTGTCATTTTGTGTCTGGATTGATCTTGGAATTTGTAAATCAAGTTAACTTAGGCTAACTTTAAAAAAATTGTTTTTAAAATTTTCAATTTTATAATATTTATAGCCTAATTTAATATTTATTTTTTTATTTTACACTTTGACTATTCAATTACCGGTACCAATTAAAAGTACCGGTAACAATTTTAGGTTTAATTATGTCGGAGATAGTGACCACGAGAACCATAGTTAGGTATTTATCATTAGAAACTAGATTTTTACCTGAAAACAATGGTGCAAAAAATGTTCTGCTGTCACAAAAACTGAATAAACTACGATCGTTTGAATTTTAAATTTAATGTTGTATTAGGCACTTTGATTTAGACACATATCAATGTTTACTCTGTAAAATCAAAGATAATAGTCCAAGTCACATGTATTGATCGATTATATGCCATTTTAAAGTAAATAACTTAACTTAGGCTAAGTAAATATTATTTATTGTGTTTAGCCTATAGCACTATTTTACAAAGTGCAAATACAGTCTGGAGACAACTTAACATAAATCAACAACTAACTCCATTCATTATAACTTAAGCTTTACCTTCCTAATCTAACCTAACTTCAAAACCCTTAATAGAGTCACGAATCCAAACATATCTAAGTTACCTCACATGTCTAAACTGATTAGGCCTAAGTTCATAATCAATGTTCAGTTGAATTGATCAATGTCTCTACCTCTTTGCCTCTTTGTAGAAACTTAATGTTTGTCATCTTAGGTTTCTTCTTCTTGCCTAGATGATCCTTTCAATTGTTTATGTTTGTGTTAATCAATTAACACTTAACAGTAATGACAACAGAGACTAGCAGACAAGGCATTACAGTAATTATATTCAAACTATCGTAGTTTAAGTATTTAGGCCTACTTAAGTTTTTGAGACAGCAGAAAAGTTTCGCACCATTGTTTTCAGGTAAAAATATAGTTTCTATGGTTCTCTTGGTCACCATCTCCGACATAATATCCCAATTTAAGTTACAGTTTTCTCTCTAGGCTGCACTTTACTTGACGTCCTACACTCATTCGAACGAAAATATCGATCAATATATCGATTAATCGATTGCTTCATTCGATATATCGTTTGGTTAGTTAGGTAAGGTTAACCTAACCTAACTAACTAAACGATATATCGAATGAAAGAATCGAATGAAAATATCGAATCGAAAAAACCAATCGAATGAGTGTAGGACGTCAAGTAAAGTGCAGCCTTCTCTCTATAACAAAATTAAGAGTAACTTAAAAGTCTACAAATTCGGTAATTTTTATTAAGTTAATTGCCGACAGAGGGAACTGCAGGCAGCGCATTAATTCCTTCCCCAATGGGTTAAGCAGTTGATGAAATCAACAGGGCTGCTTGTCAATGTTATTAAGTAATGTTAGGCCCTAACTTAGTTAATAAGTTATCAGTGCTCAATTTGTAAAAAAAATAAGGTGCCGGAAGTGTAAATTACCCGGGAATTATGACACAACCCCCTTCCAATCCACCCTCAAATAATTGTTGAGAGGTTACAACTTACTGCTGTGCCATTTCCCTGCAAATCGAGCACTGGTTATTATTGCACTGTTACCAATAGGACTAACCTAATTGGCGACAATATAGGCCCTAGGCTATTTGCAAGGGAATTTATTATAACTTACAAAAGAAATACCCCTAGCCCTAATCTAATCCTGGGCTAAAGATAACTGCGCGAGAGAAAATGTTAAAATCTTCATTAGCTTTGAGGCATGTTGTAAACATTGAGTGTGAATAAATTTTCTAGATTGACAAAAGGCCTAATATGGCCAAGAGCAGAGTTTAGCCTATTGAAAGTCCCTATTGCCTATTGGATCCTCTTTGCAAACGGCCTTAATTGAATGTGTATTAAAGTAGCTTAAACTACTAACTAATATTCAGAAATAAAGCTCCCTGGAAGATTATTATTAGTTTCTCACCTTAACATGGGCCAAATATTGACAGCAACTTAAATATAACGATAAAACGAATACTTGCATCAAAATAAATAACGATGAAACTGAAACGAGCAGAACCATTTATTCCAAAAGTTTATTCTAAACACGTTAGTTAAAATAAAAGTTTTAAGAAAACATTCCACTTGCACAGAAAACACAGGTAAACTCCAACATACATTTCATAATAAACAAAACTCATAACAACTAGGCCTACTCAAGCTTCACAAACTTAGACGGCCGACGGCCATTTGGTTTTGTATTATTATTAAGGATAGGCTTGGTTTTGCTCAGTGGTTTTGGTCTATTCCTTTTTTCTTTTTCTGCCCAACGTATTGGTTGGTTAAATAGGGGGCTGAGTTTATTTTCAATTATTTCACAGCAGAAATTTCTATTTTCGCATCCGGATGAAAGAAAATGGGTGGCACAGATATTGTACACAGGACATACTATATGCATGCACTATGTTTGTTTGACTAATTCAATATTTTTTGTCATGTGGAAAGCGAATAGCGACCTCTTGTCGGGAATTTTCGATTTTGAGTTTTATACATATAGGATATATACATATACAGGGTGAGTTTTAGTCGAGTACGGGATTACCATACGAGTCCGGTACACACATTTTGGACGAGTTACGTACGATAGTTTACGCCATACTACTAAATCCGTACAAATCCTTATATATTACCACCAACTAAAGTACTAAAAATCACTGTAACCACCTCTAAGAGAAGTTATGTTTTTGTTTATAACCACTCATTGCCCCCTAAATACAGTATAATCAGCTGATTGGGGTCCGGTAAAACTCATTGCAGTACAGTAGTACGCAATGAAACCCCATTTGAATAAGCTTGCGATAAACAGCTGTTTTCTGGACTAAATCCTTGCGTGGGAAGTTCTTCAAAATAATGTAGTGTGGCGTAATTTTTTTCAAATGTAAAGGTATGGTTGTGACCCATCGTTTCAAACTAGATTTTTACGCTGAATACGATGCTGCAATCCGTTTAAAAAAATCTTGATCCGTTCTAAAAATATGAGTATTTTTAAAAACTTTATTTTTAGCCAATTTTATTAATCGAGCATTGCTTATTTACTCTTGATTTATTTAACCTACTAACTTTATAACAAGACAAAGATTTAGGCATAGGTCCCAATATTAACCTCACTAGGCCTTATGTCAGTATCTATGACTATAGACATTGACTATACAACATATAGTCAATGCTATAGACCACCTACATATTTTTAACTTCATTTAATATGGAATCAAAGTTTATTAGTTTGTCATACCTTTTATTTCACAAAGTGTAAGCAAACAAGTACATATTCCTCTAAAAACCCTAAAAGCAAGGTATTGGTACCTAGAACAAATGGCCAAAATAATTAAAATTCTGTGACAAACAGCTGATCCAAAATCGTCAAGGGAGAGTACGTATCGTCATTGGCCACAGCATCGATAACAAAGGCCTCAGTGACAGACAAACCAGGGCGGTCTGCAAAGCTGTCACCGATATTTTAGTCACCGATATTTCGCCCCGATATTTCTTTGTCACTGGAACGAAGTCACCGATATTTTTAAATCACGGTATCTAACATCACTAATTGCAGCTGCAGCACGAGCACAGCAATATATATAGCAAAGCAATAGCAATGCAAACAAGAACGAGACCAGGAAGCACCTTTTTCTAGTGGGGCCTTGCGTCAGTCAGACCCTAGGAGGATTAAATCCTCCTAGGTCAGACCAGACCGCCGTCCGCCACCGCCTGGCCACCGCCCACCTGACCCCACCTCCACTACTGCTCGAGCGAACCGAACACCACACTGAGCTAAAATTATAACAGGAGGTAGCACTGAGCACTGCCATGGCAGAAGTCTGTCAAAAGCGTGTCGCTGATTTTGTTAGGTTGGTATAGCAGCGAGTTTTCTTATCATAGCAATAACATGGCTTCTATAACTAGGTTGGTATAGCAGTGAGTTTTCTTATCCAATAACATGGCTTCTTATAACTCACGCCTCACGCAAGGCGGCTGGCGACACGCATCTTTGACATTGAGTGCTACCTCCAGTTAGAATTATAGCTCAGTGGAACACCATTACGACTACGATCCGTTGGACAGACGGATGGTAGACGGACCGAAGATCCCAGGGTTAAATTTGACCTGAGAATTGTTTACCTGTTTTGGCAAGCCTTGACCGAAGATCCCAGCACTAATGCGGGGTCGAGCGGGGACCATCAGTCAAGCCTTGCTCTTGGTATCTTCATCGAGTTTGATGAGGGTTGACAAGTTTCCGTGTTCCGTCGAGCAACAGGTACACTAGTTGTAAATTGGTTCTTGACCGTTGGAAGGTAAAATCAATAAATAAATATTAATAGGTAAATAAAGAGGTCCCTTTTCTTAAATGCGATTTTAACGACATGCTTCGGTAAAACAATTATTTTAATGGAAACTACTGGGAGTTAAGACAAAAATTGGGTTTGCCTCCTAAGAGGACATTATAAGCTTTCTTTTGATAGCAAATCCGTTTCTTAAATATGAAAAACTGGTTTTATGCGTATTTGAAACTTTCAAAATGGTTTTTCTCAAAATGACCCTTATCAATAACAAAATTTCAAAGTCCTACAACTTTAACAAATAAAATCGTAGATGCATGGGACTTGTACCAAGTGATTCGGAATTTAATATGGAATTTTAATACAGGGTTTCCATAAAATAATTGTGTGGTTTTAACATCCTGTAAAACTGTTATAAGACAAATTAAATGACTTCTGTTGGTATCCCTGTATATAGTAGCTCAAACAGTTGTTCACATTTGTTAAAACAGCTGTTTTGATTGTTGTACTATTCAAAACACTTCTTAATCGATAAGTTGAGTTTTTTTCGACCAACATGTTTTCAGATCAGGAAAAAGCTAAGTGTGTATTGTTATTAAGTGAGTTAAAGTCAGTGACTTTAATGCAACGGGCATTTCGAAGAACATTCAATAAAGCTCCGCCTCATAAAAACAACATTAATCGTTGGAGTAAGCAATTCATAAACACTGGGTCAGTTAAAAAGCAAAGTAGACCTGGTAGACCACCAATATCGAACCAGACAGTTGAAGACATCAGACTATCTTGTGTTAGAAGTCCAAAGAAATCCATCCCTCGCCGTAGTCTTGAATTAGGAATACCCACCTGTAAGTACTCTTAACAAAGTTTTACACAAAAGACTCCATCTTCATGCCTACAAAATTCAACTCCTTCAAAAAATAAAAACAACAGATTTGATAAAAATGAGCAGGATTCGCTACATTTATGTTGAACCAAATGGCAGAAAATGAATCATTTTTGAATGAAGTAGTTTTTTTCAGATGAAGCCACATTTCACATCAGTGGTTGTGTTAATAGGCACAACGTAAGAATTTGGGGAGCTCAGCATTCTCATGAAACTTTTGAAAAGGAAAGAGACTCACCAAAAATAAACGTTTGGTGCGGCCTGTCCAGAGAAGAAGTAATTGGGCCATTTTTCTTCGCTAAAAAAACTATCAATGGAAATTTTTACTTGGACACGTTAGAAAACTTATTGTTTTCCTCAACTTGACAACATGGAAAATGCAAGAAGCCTTTATTTTCAGCAGGATGGAGCACCTCCACATTATAAAACAATTGTTCGAGATGCTTTAGATGTTAAGTTCCCGAACAGGTGGATTGGAAGAGACGGTCCTATAGCATGGCCCCCCAGGAGCCCGGACCTGACTCCATGCGACTTTTTTCTTTGGGGTAATGTAAAGAACCCCAAATCACCTAATTTTTTAAATATATGCTCAAAAAAATTGCAATTTGGACCACCTAAGGGAAAGAATCATTGATGCAGTTTCAATGGTGACAAAAGAAATGTTGCAAAATGTGTGGGCTGAAGTAGATTATCGTTTGGACGTCTGCAGGACTAGGAATGGTGGCCATGTTGAGCTTTATTAGATATGTATAAAATCTTTTTAATGTAAGGAATCCAATAAAATAAATAGTTTTTTGTACCTCTTCTCGTTATCTATTTATTTCATAATTAAACCGCACCATTATTTTATGGAAACCCTGTATAAGGGTGAGTTTTAATGAGTCCCCCCCTACTTTTTTCTACATTTCTTAAGATATCAACTCCGGACCACATCAGATCATTGTAGAGTAGTAAGTACTTCATTTTGACTGGGTATAAATTTTTGGCCACCATCTTGGATCCGCCATATTGGATACAAAGTTTGTTTTTCAAATGCAAAGGTAGAATTGTGACCCATCGTTTCAAACTATATTTTTACGCTGAATACGATGCTGCAATCCGTTTTTAAGATCTTGATCCATTCTAAAGTTATAAGAACTTTATAGCTTATTTTTAGCACATTTTAACATTGTGCAGTTACAAACTAAAACTATAATCGCAAAATAGAGCTAGATAAAGATAAGTATACACCACCAGTCATTGTCAACCTATTTTCACTTGATTATGAGGGATGTATTTTTTCGGCTGCCATCTTGGATTCGCCATTTTGAAATTAGATAAATTATTTTAAATATGAAGGTGGTGTTTGGTGTTGTGACCCGTCATTTTTAATTACTTTTTTATGATGAACTCAATGCCGCAATCCGTTTTTTGTTATCAAGCTTCCTTAATGATATATTACAACTATTTTATTTAAAATGTCAATAGTTCAAAAATAAAACATGAAAATGAAAAATGAATTGCACCATTGAGTTCAGCATAAAAAGTAATTTAAAATGATGGGTCACAACACCACCTTCATATCAAAAATAATTTATGTAATTTCAAAATGGCGGATCCAAGATGGGGGCTGAAAAAAATACATTGTCACAACCAAGTGAAAATAGGTTGACGATGACTGGTGGTGTATACTTGTCTTTATCTAGCACTATTTTGCAATTATGGTCTTAGTTTGTAACTGCACAATGTTA